TGTACTCAAGTCTTTAAAGTCTATGAGCTTTTGAATGGTTCCACATTGCAGCTCCAATTCCTGTATGTAGACTGTGCATCTGAATCAGACAAAGTCATTATCCTCTTATTTGAGGACTTCAGCGTGTGCTGTCGATCATTTGGAATGTGTGTACTTATCTCTTCCAAAGCTGTGAATCTGCAATTCTGACACCATCTTTAGTTTCCTCAATTCTGTACATGCACTGCTCAGTGAATGTAAGTTATTGATAGTTTGTTGTTTTCAGTGGTCTCCTTACTATAGTACTTAATTGTCTGATCACTTAGCCCATACAACCAACAACTAAGTGCCCATACATCCATGCAGAAAAAAAAATAGCAAAATTTAAAGGCATAAAATATTAATTTTTCCTTTATTTCCATCAAAAATTTATTCCAACAGCAAAAGAAATTCAAAAGCTTTCTACAAAGCATGACTTAAAAATTAAAACATCAATAATTCTTAAATCACATATACATATACAAACATCTAGTAATTTAAAAAAAAATATAAACAAGAACATTATAAAAATGTAATGTTGTGAGAAGACCAGTCTCTGAAATTAGGAATCAAATTTTCTTCCTAATTATATAATCAAAGAATTATTATTAAATTGTTAAAGGTAATCATTTGGTTTTAGAAGACTAACCTATACCCTGTGGGACAACCGGTTTTTAATTCTCAAACCTTAGCAAATAGCCTCACATAAGATAAATGTAATAAATACACGACAAATCATGCTGATGTGCCCCAACATTACATCTGGTAATCTGTACTGATGGGTTTTGCTCCAGAAATATGTACCAAAAACTGGCTGTAAAAATGACAGAAGGCTGTGGACAAATACAATGACCAGCGCCAGACAGCTTGGACTACAAGTAGATGCATTAAATTATTGTTAGTCAGAAAATAAAGTCTATACATGTTAATTTCAACTCTATGATAACTTTTAATCATAGTTTTAGGCAAACAGGTGATTGGCCTGTGGCACCTGTGGAGGAGCTGCCTTCTTGGGGGCTCCATGCCTGCTGTCTGGCTAATCCATGGTTACTCACTACTTCTACAGATGCATGAAACATTCAGGTTTAATCAGAGCCTCCTCTTTTCAGCCAGGCTCTGGATTGGTCTTAGCAATATCCAAGTGACAAAGATCGCAATCAGACAATACACAAAAAAGCTAAAGGTAAAGTCAGAAGATGTGAACCAGCGTCATAGCACAATGTTTTAAACCATAAGTTCTCTGCCCCCAGTACGGACAGCTCATAAGAAACTGTCCCTCTGTGTCGCTGTCCGCACGCAACTCCGTAGCTACAGCGACATTCCTCCATTTACCCCAGAGTATTAACTCTGGTACCCATTACCTAGAGGCTGGGTGAACCTTGGGATCCGCCCAAGGTTTCGAACACCGGCCGTGGGCTGCAGAGAGTCGCAGCTGGATTTTAAAGCAAGTCTCCTATCAACTGCACTAACGCTGCCCCTGAATAGACAATACATCATGTTCTTGAAAAACAGGCCTTAACAAACTCAAGTGATCAGTCACAGTTACAATGGCTTAGACATTAATGCAGAGTGCAGGAGAATCAGCCACCACTGCATGCATGGGAGGCCAAGAATCAGTCCTCCGGGACGACCCAGGTTTCACTGGGATGACAACATCTGACAACCCTGACACAGGACTGGAATAAAAGCAAAGCATAAAGAAAACTGCAGATTGAGAATCTTAGAGGAGACACTGGTTTTAAAGAATAATACAATGTTTAAAAATAACCAACTAGCCATTGAGTAAAAAAAATGGTGTTGAAATCAAACAAACTCAAAAGAAATTAGAAGAAAGCAGCAAAAAAAAGTGTAATAATATTGCAACAAGAAGTGTAAACTGAAGATTGTTTAAAGCACAGACGAAGGATGTCAGGAAGAACAGAAAAGTGTATGCTGCTTTACAGGAATAGCCTTCACTGCATCAGGTTTGATCCCTTTGACTCAGTCTTAGAAAGACAGGTCACCCGTATCAAGGCATATTTTTACAATTAACCTTGGCTTCCAGCCTAAAATGGATGCCAAGAAATGTAATGGAACGTAAAGGCAATTGGCATGATGTTGATCACATCGCTCATCAAGTGCCAACTGGTGTATAAAAAGTTTAGCATCATATGCACTAGGTAAGAAACTTAATCACTTCACAGCTGAGACCCTAATTATATGTAGCACAAGCTCTAGAAGAGGGAAAATTAACACAATTTAAAAGTACAACCAACAAACATTAGCTGCTGTCAGAAATCCAACCAGGCTGTAATGACAACCACCCAAGTGTAATGTACCCAGAACAGAAAAAAAAACTAGATAAACATGTATTTAACAGAGAATATGAACAAGAAAAAGTTCATATCTAGAGCTTTACAGACAGAATAGGGTTATCATACCACTGCTCTTGAAAGAGATCATAATTCAGCACCCCAGGAAGAGCAATAACAGGTGCTTTATTAATATCCTACCCCAAACAGGGGAAATCAACAGGTCATGGGACAGTCTAATATTTCATGGGGTGGTAGATATGCAGTCGTGGGACCTAGGCTGCACACGCTCGTGGCGGGAAACCCAGTCTTACCACTGTCTAAAATGTTGGACTGTCCTGTGACGTCATCTGGGGTAGGATATTAATAAAGCGCCCAATAACAGACTGAATAAACACACATAGCTTTGCTGTTCAACTTCCCCATATTGGTAGACATAGCAAACAAAGAAGCATTGTTTGCAGACCTGCTATAATTGCAGCTAGCTAAGAAAGATAGACTGCTCACAGAATCAACATTTTAAACTCCAAGTTGGAACTAAACATAAAATCATAAATCATGATAAATTTACAGCAAGCAAAGTAAACCATCTTTAAAAAATATGAGAAAACATTACAAGATGACATTTTGTAGGGGGAAAAACTGTAAAAGCTTCTTCTGTCTTTCATCTCCCAAAGGTGCAGATGCAGAGGTTCTTAACCAGCTCATGCCAAGACTTGATATTTATAGACTTGTTCATGACTGGGTGAATACAGGGCCATATTTAAGATGTATGACACACCTGTGCAGTCATTTATTTTACACCCCCTTTTCCCTAGGATAAACTTCAGAAACTATTCATTTATACACTATTAACAATAAGTTGATAAATTATTTACTTCAGTTTTAACCTCTATCGAAGTATTTAAACTTAACTAAACTGAATAGTTAGTGAATCCTTTACAGGACATAGCAGAACCAACACCAGCATTTCTTGGCTGTTGTGGTTGGGGTTCCCAATGAAGCAATGATGTGCAATACAAGATGAAACCTTCCTAATAATAAAATGAAAAAAAAAAAAAAACCAGGTTTTTTTCTTGCTGCTCTTAGAACTTTGCGGCAATGTGCAGCTGCGCATGTTGCAGGCAATCAAAATATGGCCCTCGTTGCACCTGACAGGCAAAGCGACACACCCACCCCCCTTTCAGTCATCTCTTACATGACATTAGTCTTTGAGTCTTTGCTTCCTGTCTGGGATGAGCAGATTTTAATGCAAGAATGAAGTGGCTCTGACATGGAAAAATTAATGGCCGTTATTGAAACATTATACTACTTTATATTAAACTAAACACAACCTAGATATGTCTTCTCTTTATGTTGCATGATTACTTAAACTACTAAGCAGGAATGTTAAATGTTGACTGTGTTACAATTCCAGAAAAAAAAAGCCGTTGAAAAAATTTACACAGGTCCCTAATAAATTCACTAAAAATGTATTTATCTTAAATTATTTTTTTCCAAAACATATAAAGAGATATGAAAGAAGCAATCAATACATCCCCCATGGCCTTTAAAAAAATATATCTGGTTACTCATACCATGCCCTCTATCACTGAGGCTTATAAGAAAATCTGACAACGTGGCTTTACAAAAGCTATTCAACTCAAAGGGGACGACCCCCCCCCCCCCCATGTTATTCATATTTTGACCTCTCAAACATGCACGCAGGTGTGAAAACAACCAGTAAAATTAACTATGCATCTTGTAAACTGGTCACCATAGACAAGTTGGAAAACTTACATTTACAGAGAATCTGCCCCATGAGAATTTTTTTTTTTTGTGTGTTGAGCCTAAAGATACAAAATAAAGCACTATTTTATTAATTAATGTGAACAGTGTCAATTAATAATCCTGTTATGTGTGCCATTCAGGTGCAATACAACAGTTAATCAAAAATACAAATATGTAAAACCAACATTAAGAAAATAGGAAAATCAAATACTTCTTCTTCAGCACTCCAAGCCATTGAGGTTCACTGCTGCAGATATAACCCGCCTCCTTTCATCTCTCTGGTTGGCCTTCTCTTTCCAGTTGGTGACACCAAATGTTTGCAGGTCTGTCAACACATTATCTCTCCATCATCTTCTTGGTCTGCCTCATGGTCTACGACCATCATCAACATCAAATACTGTATTTTGTAAAATCTGATTGCTTCTGATTGCAATAAGACATTACTGTTTTTAATGTGTGCGATACATAAATCATTATTAACAAATGGCTGTGAATCATGGACAGACAGTAAGCACACAAAGTAATCCCTTGAAACTGCAGAAATTAGGTTTCATAATGGATAAAATAACAGACAGCAAAGATTAATTTTTCTACTAGTTTTGGCAGAGAGTAAGATACAATGGAGACTTACCATACAGATCAGAAGGCAGCTAATAGTATCTGGTCATATTATGAGAAGAGAACAACTGGAATATAATTTAACAACTGAGAACATTCATAGAGAAATATGCAAAAAGAAAGTGGTAAGAGAAAATGTAGGACAGTCTGGTCTCTCATGATAGTGAAAGAAGGCATTTCAATATGTACATTATGCTGGATGGAGATGAGGCAGTTTGCAGAAGCGTACAAACTTACACCAACTGGCAAAGCATAAGATGGTGAATTGCCAGGCATGATCTTCATGACCAAAAATATAAGCCTTTATACTTTATGTCGTTTTGACCTAATGAAAGCCATCCCATGATTCCTCATGTGAGTCTTCAAATTGGCCTCAACATCAAATGCCCTATAACACACAGTACATTCAAGTGGATTGCTGGAAGCTACTTTGCTGGCAGTGTTTGATTTCTCCCTGCCAGGATCCAAAAATTTTGGCTGAGGTTTATAATAAGGCTGGATTTCTGGAAATACTTCAAATTCATCTAAATCCGGTTCAGCCACATTGTTAGCCTTCAAGTAATCATCAACTGCATGGATTTTATGTACAGCCAGCAAATGTTTCTTCAGGGCAGCAAATATGGTAAAGCACAGGCCACACTCAGGGCACTGAGGTTCCTTGCTGGAATTATGCGAGGTGATGTGCTGTGAAAACTCCTGTGACTGAGCACAAGAGAAACCACATTTGCCACACATGTAGTCACCTTCACCGGCTAAACGTAACCTCTTTGGAGCAGGAACATCTTCAACAGTTTTGCTGATCTGAAGTTTCTGGCCACTGCTGGCATTCTGTTCTTCTGCCCGAATAAACCTGTTGACTGTGTCCATGTTTCCAATTCTGTGTTTCTTAGTGATATGCCTGGACACCAACTCTTTCCTAGAAAAAATTTTGGTTGTCCCTTTCTTTCTGCACAAGCCACAATGATAGACAATTCTGATGCCATCATGTGACCTGCTGACATGTTCTTCCCTAGCAGATAAGCTTTGGAAGGCTAAACCACACACAAGACAAGGAAATACACTAAGTGTCTCATTTTCCACACTCTTTTCATCATTTTCCATTTCTTGATGCACTGAAGGCTCTTCTCCATTTGACTCTCTACTCTTACTGTTAGCTTCAGGAGTCTTATCATCCTCCTTGGAATTCTCAGGCATTATTTCTGCTGGCTTTTCTGCCTGCTTCGACACACTGCTACCACACAGCTCAGAATGCTTCTGGGCCGCTTCTATAGTCGCAAAATCTCTCTTAAAGCAATGGCAGCAAATAATAACACCCTGGGACTGATGAAACTTTAAATGTTCTGTCATCTTTATGCTCTCCACAATCTGCTTACACACCATACACTGGCTGACGGTGATACTTTTTCTGAATGGTGTAGAATCTCCTTTACTTGTGATGATTATTTTACAAGGTTGAGTTGCCAGTTTGTTACCAGTAGATGAAACCTCTGTGGGAGTTTCTTTCTGCATTGTAACTGACTGTGAAATCTTAATGTTTTTCTCTGGCTGTGGTTGACTTTGCAAGCTTAAAACTGACTGGCCAGGCTTGGAAACCACTTTTGGAGCAATTTTGACCAACAGAGGATACTTTTTCACAACTGGTGCATGGTTAAGCTGCCTCTGTGTTTTATCTACATCGTGATTCATCTTGTTAACTTCAAACAGTTTCCTTAAGTATATACTCTTTGAAGATCGTTTAGGTTCATCAGCCTGCACATCAATACAATAATTTAACTTGCTGGCCAGAAAGCGCAGGCATTTTTTTTCTCAACAATATGTTCTACGAGGCTGTTTCTGCTCCAAAACAGGTTGTAGCAGTTTGTGCACCGTTTAGATTTATGTGGATGGTCAACCTCTGTATGCTTATTTAATTCAGTTTTGTCAGAAAATGTCTTTGAGCAAATAAAACATTTCCACTTGAATTTTGCATCAATTATAAAGCGGTCGACATATTGGTCAAGATGTACCTTTAACTCGGCATATGATTTTAAAACACGCTGGCAGATCAAACAAAGCACTGATACCTTGATGTTTGTGTTTTTGGCTTTATGTATATTAGCAGCGTGCTGTACAAAGTTATCACGCTGTGTGAAAGCTAAGACACACAAAGGACATTTAAAAATGGTCCGAAAGTGATGTTCCATCAAATGCTCTTCCAGTCTGTCAACATCATTGAACTCTTGCTTGCAGAAACATTGTATGCTTAAGATTCTATTGAAATGTTTACAGTCATCAACGTGGTCAAACACACACCTCATTTCATTACCTTCATGCACTATTGTGAAATCTTTTTCCCCACATTCCGGACAACAGATTTTTTTTGCTACTCCTCTGTGAATGTTCATATGTGCCTCTTGTGCACAAATACTGGGTAAGAACATGTCACAGGAAGAACAAGGAAATGGTTTTGCTGTGGCCCTACACAGATGAGCTGATAAGTCTGAAAAAGACTGCACACAAATTGGGCACTGTGATGGGTTGCTTGAGGATTTCCTTTTTCTAGAAGATGTAGAAACTGTTGTGTGACAAGCAGATTCTGTTTCTGTTACTTTTTCAACGGATGCTGTAGTACTGGTAGGAGTTCCATCAACTCTGCATTCACCTGAGTTAGAATATACACACTCAGACGTTTCTAGTAAAGCATTATCTACTGCTTCACTTATCTCATTTCCACTACTGTCCTCTGCATCGAATTCATACGGCTTTAACCATATGATATTACTGTAGTTAAGTGATAAGTCTGACTTTAGCTTTCTAAGATGCATCCATAGTGAACATTTGTTGTAAAATGTATGTTTCTGTTTACACTGTGAACAGTAATATAACAAATTAAAAACTGTGCGGTTAAGGTGAAAATCTAAACAGTCTTTATCAATGTAGCCATCACCACAGACGGAACAGTGCACTGTATTTAGTAAGGATTCTTTGTTTCTGGGGGTGGATACCTTTAATAGGTTGCTGTCTTTCAAATCATTTCCCTGCAGGTAGAAACTATCCACTGTGTCTGTCACTAATTTTGAGATACGGTCCTTAAATGATATCTCATTGTTGTTATTAGAAATTTCTGCAGAAGATGCAACTGATCCTGAGAAAGCACTTGTAACAGGTGTTTGAGGTTCTGTCATTGGTGTTTTAGATAATATTGATGATGTGAGATCAGCTAGGTAATTCAAATCTGTCTTCAAGGAAACCTGTGGTACTAAGAATGCTACTTTATTCTGGCTACCGTTATTACGATCCTGCACATAGACACATGAGTAAGTTGTTGGCAAAAATGTAGACTGTGTGGGATTGGAAAGGACATTTGGCAGCAACTGTGATGATCTGTCTGGCACTGATTCACTGCTGACAGGAAACTCAGTGACACCTACAGTTGAAGTCTTTAAGCTAGCAGAGTGTGGCACTTTCACTGGTATTTGCAATAGACCACTATCAGAAAGTGGCTTGTCTGCTACTCTTGATAACATCTTTGATTTGGTACTCCACACTGTTTCTGTGCTAGGACTAACTTGTTCCACCAGACTGTTGATCTGTCTTTCTGAGTAATTTCCTTGATCTTTTCCAACAGGTGTCTCTGTGTGTAGTAGGGGATGGTTGACTATAGAAAATTTGGTACCAGAGTAAGTTTTGCTTTTGCTGATTTTAATCGATATACCCTTTGAAGATGCTTCTTTAGTATTCTCAGATGCTGACTTAGCATACTGAATCATGCCTTGAAGCAACTCAGATGCTGATTTTGAAACTAATCCGGCTGTCTCTGTTCTTCCTGTATTTGTGCTTTCAACAGTGGTATCCCCTGATAGTTGGTTTTTCATGATTTGTTCTAAGCTTGTTAAATTCTGATTTTCATTTATATCGTCAGATTCCATTTCATGGTATCCTCCACAAACACTCAAAATTACTGGCTCAAAATTAGTGTTTGTATTTGTAGAAAGAGAGTTAATTATTTCAGGTTCTTGAATGTAACAGGCTGAGTCACTGTCAATGTTTTCTTCTTCATCATCAACCTGTACTGAAGCAGGTGCATATGCACGCTTAACTTCAAATACTTGATGAGCTAATGAAGACGTGTGATGATTTAAACCTGCATTAGTAACTGTAGCAGTCACTCCATCTTTAGAATTCCCACCAGTACATAGTGCTGCTTTCTGCACTTCATCATTCTGGTCTTCAGCAAAGAAGTTTGCTTCACTATGAATCTCTGTATCATGTTCACCTCCCTTCACCTGTCCTGCTGTAGATGGTTGTTCACATTTTTCCGCAAAATCTGAATGAAACTTTTCTGTAAGATCTTTTTCACAAATGGCTGTTTGTTTTCCTTCAGACACTGCAATGTTTAAATTAAACGGAGCAGTTAAATGCCTGCTAGAGACATTAACAGTAGAACATGAAGTCTGAATGTTGTCAGCAGTATCCAGTACAAGCTGAGCTGCCATTTTATGTCCTTCAGTGTCATCATTCTCACCTTTTTCTCTAACATTTACAACTCTGACAACATTTACAACTCTGACAGCACTTAACAAAGATGCCTCTAATTCCTGCTCATTGACACAAACATTAGAAGCTCTATGAGAGTCCTGAAGTCTCATGCTAACTGATTGCATGGTTGCATCCTGGCCAGCATTACTTATATCAGCTTGCGCAGGTTGTAGCATGCTGTCATTATATTTTTTCTTCTTCTCTGGATCTTTATATATAACATTCTGTTCATCCATGTGAAATGTTTTATTCTGCACCAATCCTAATCCTTGTTAACCTGATCAGAGATGGAAAATAAGAATAATTACAACTGCAAATCTTCAATAAAACAAAACAAGCATATTATATTATCTGAAAACTAACAGCTGTGCACTAAATGCTATCTCTGTATCCGGAATGGTAACTGGAAATACAAACTGGAACTATCAGACAAGAGTGAAGAAAGATTAGATACAAAGTCAAAGATAGTTCCAGAACAAATATGTATAAGTTTTTACAAAAATACACATTTAAAATATGCTGATGACAAGTGTTACTGGCATAGAGGCAGCAGCAGTCACAGCAGGACCAAGTGGATCAAGTCAACAGTATGGTTCTGACATTAACATTCCAAGAAATGAAAACTATGATAATTAGTAATGGAAAGATGCAACTGTCGGTGAAGATTACAGTAAATTAAGAGATATTAGAGCAAATGAGACATTTCTCTTATCTTGGACATGTAATAACAGATGATGGCAAAAGTGAAACAGAAATTGAAGAAAAAAATAGGAATGGCTAAAACTATCTTCAATATGATGCATAAATTACTGACAGCTACAGAGATAAACAAAATACTGAAAATGAGAATTGCCAAATGTTACATATACTGAACCCTGTTGTATGGTAATAGAGAAATCCTGGACAATGAGAAAGCAACTAGAAAACCAAATGGAGTCCCTGAAAATGTAAAAATACAGAAGAATAAGCTGAACTTCATGGAAACAAAAACAATAAAATACAGAGGATACGGGAGGACTGAATAAAGAGAGAATTACTGAAAGAACTTGGAGGAGAAAAAAAGGGACAATGAAATATTCTGGCAAAATGAAAAGATAAAACACTCTTTCTAAAACCACACTGGAAGTAAAAGTCAAGGGCAAGAAAGCAGAGTGTAGACAACGATACAAGTGGCAGGACAACATCAAGAGATGGTTGAATAGCAGTCTGAGAGAGTGTAAGACCAAGACAAGAGAAATAGCATGTTGGAGATCCATTGCATTCAACTTTCATTGTGCAGACAGCACCTGACCGCTGGATTGCCGGTGCCAATAAAACTTAATTACCAGTATATCTTAAAATATTTAAATTGTGTTGCTGCTGTTGTTGCTTTCAGCATTAACTATTTAAATATTTTTTTAAAGGAGTTTTATTTTAACTGAAAAATTAAAAAACACTAGAATTCTTTTAGGTTACTCTAGAAAAAAAAATATATATATAATAAACACTATTGCAGCCACAGAAACTTCCAGAAGCATCAGTGAGTCTGAACATCTGACTGTAAAACTATATAGAGCCACTTCCAAAGCCGCTATACGTTATTAACTTTTACTGTCCCAAGAACAAGAAATTGGAACTAGATGCATCCCAGTAGCTGATAAAAGCAACCTAATTCTCAGCGAATTTAACAGTCACTCCCCCTAGTTGGGGCTATGCTTCTGTGGACAAAAGAGGAGAAGAGGTAGAGGAATGGATGGTAGAAAACCTGCTGATACTAATCAATGAACCTCAAACTAAACCAACCTTCTACTCTAGACGATGGCAAACACAAAGTATACCAGACCTAGCTATAGCTACAGAAAACATCCAACGAAGGGCAGACAGAGAAGTAATGAAACAGCTGGGAGGAAGTGATCATAAACCAGTCGTCATCATGATAGGAGAGGTCAAGCCACCAGAAAACAGAAAAAAAAATTAGCCAGCTGGAACTACAAGAAAGCAGACTGGGACCTCTACAAAAACTTAACTGAAGAGAAGCTATCAAAGCCCTTTCCCACTAATGAGATTAGAAAAAACACCACAACTCTTACCAGTTTCATACTAGAAGCTGCACAAAAATCAATCCCCCGAGGTCGAAGGCAAAACTATGAACCCTTCTGGACCCAAGAACCACAACAACTGCACCAAAGAAGCACTGAAGAGTAAAAATGGAACAAGATCCGTCTGACCTCAACGCAGCAGAACACAATAAACAGCAGGCTTTTTATAGAAAAGAAAAAGTCACATGCATCTGGACAAGACGGCAGGAAAAGACTGCAGCTCTCAACATGGAGAAAGATGGTAAAAAGTTATGGCATCTAGTAAAGAGTCTCAATGAGGAGAATAATACCAGCCGTGCCCACACTGTCATTTAAGATGGTGGGAAAGCTTTCATTGGTAAACAAGTAGCAAACATGCTGGCTGATAGTTTTGCAGAGGAAAGCAAAATATTTATGTCTAGAGCGAGAGAAAAGACCAGAGAACTGAGGAAAATCAACAAAAAGCAAGAAGATAACCAAGATATAATGAATAAACTTTTCAGTCCCCAAGAACTTGAATGCACATCAAGAAACCTTTAGAATAGGAAGGCATCTGGACCTGATCGAATAACAAATGAAATGACAGTACACTTTGGACATCTGGTGGGCTACTCCTAGGCCTTATTAATCAATCCTGGACCCAGGGTCTTCTTCCTAAGGAATGGAAGGACACAGAAATAGTCTTCATAGCCAAGAAAGGAAAGCACAAAGAAAACAAATTTATTTACCACCCCATAAGCCGCCTAAGCTGCCTTGGAAAGACCATGAAAAGATTAGTGAACAGGTAAAAAATTTCCTAGACAAAAACAAGATATTGGATGATAGTCAATTAGGTTTCAAGAGATACAGAAGCACTGAGGACCAAACCTCTTATCTTGCACAGGAAATTGAACACGCTTTCCAGAAAAAATACAAACTGCTAGCTACTTTCTTCAACCTGACCAAAGCCTTTAATAAGGTCTAGAAGAAAGGACTCTTGCTTAAACTAGCACACAGTGTGATAAAATTGCATATGTTTGCCTGGATTCTAGACTTTCTTTACAAATGCTGTGTGAGAGTCAGACTGGAAGAACACAAGAGCAAGCTGGTCAGGTTACAAAAAGGTGTCCCCCAGGGAGGTGTTATATCTCCTACACTGTTTATCCTTTTCATAAATGACCTCCCAAAACAGTTTACAACTCACATTCACAAGGCCTTACATGCAGATGGCCTGGCCATATGGACCCAAGCTGAACATATAGGAATAACTAAAACAAGAATGCAGGAAGCTATAAATACAGTTAAGAAATGAACACTCTTGGGGAATCATAATAAACCAGACTGAAACCGTCTCAACTCTCTTCTCTCTTTCCACAAAGCCAGAATAAGTTGATCAATACTTAGAAGGCAACATCCTTTCAAAAGAGGATTATCCCACATATGTGGGAGTAAAATTCGACAAAAGACTAACTTGGGGCCCCCACACTGAAGACACCCAAAGGAAAGCTACCCTGAAGCGCAGACTTATGAAGAAACTTATAGGAACAAGCTGGGGCACAGATGCCAACACTGTACGACAAGTATACACAGGATACGTACAACCAAAACTGGAGTATGGCAAGGGAGCAACAACCCCGTGCACAGAATAGTAAATAACCTAACTAAAAACCAACTGAAAAGACAAAGCTTTCACCATCTATCAAAACTGTACTACACAAAAAAACTGTGACATTCTTTCTTCTGGGACAATTTACAGGTTTCGTACTATATGTCAAGTTACAGACATAGCCATTTTTGATTGCACAGAATTCTAAGTTCGTTTAGTGGAAACTTTTTTCTACAAGCATAAAACAATTTTTGTGCTTGTCTTTCCTTTAAACTGTGATTTGACATGACTTCATTCCTGTTTCTTCTTCTTCTTCTGCGTTCGACATCAGTCATGCTACACATTGAGTCCCGTCTGGGTCAAAAATAGGATTGTGCGTTTAAGGTCGCCACCGGTCCCCCATAGCTTCTCTCGCAATGAGGATCCCCTGGGCAACTTCATTCCTGTGTCATCCACTTGTTTAAATCAATGAGTTAATGTCAAGTTTACTCATATTTGGATGAGGTGTATTATTACAGAATCTGTTGTTACTGATTCCCTGCCTGTGATACTTCCATGCACGGCAGACACGCAAAACCGAATAACCTGTTATGTGCACACATATTATAATATATAGGTACCTTTCAGTACCGGGCAAATAATACTTTAAAAACTGTCTCAGGGTGTGTATACTTTAGAGAAATAGTTTTTGAGTCTCACTAGACTAAACGTAAAAATATGTGAAAAGGTAAGTTAAGGTTAACCACTG